TTGTGACAGCGCACAATAAGCCGTTGAGAATCGTCTGGTAGCCCCCGGCTGGTAGGAGACATCGCCAGGCTTGGCTTCGCATTGGCCTGGCAGGCCTAGGCGTGTTTCCAGACATCACGAGGTGACGGGCGCAGGGCAACGCTTGTCCCCCAGAGGCGTGCCGTAACGTGGCTAGGCTGGAACAAGGAGCGCTGTGTGCTCCCGTCCTGTCTCCATGCTGCTCTGAAGTGATGTAAGCAGATGCAGGAAGAGAGCAGGGCAGAGTCAGCAGCGGTGATGCCATGAGAGTGCAGTGTATGCAGCACGTTTGAACACCGTGCTGTTTGAACGGCACACTGCTGGATCCCCTGACACTCGTCAGCGTGTCAATAAAACATCTGAAACTGTCACTTTATGCTCCGGGGTGAGGTCCTGTTCATTTCCCAAGGTTTTTATCTCACACCCTCCTGTGTGAGTATAATTGTCCCGTTGTTGTTCACCGAACTCTCTTTTTATCACCTTGGAAACACAGTCACTGATTGCAGCGAACAGGTTTTCTGTCTCGTTTCCAGGTCTACAGAGTGCATTGTGATATTTTTAGGTTTTAAATGCACTTGATGCCTTTCAATACATTTCCTGTGTGAGTGCCAACCTGAAGCTACAGCTTTGATGGCCGCAGCAATGTGGATGTTTATTATCGATTCATTTGGTAAACCTTCCCCAATTTTTTGATCAACCAGTTAATGCTTGTTTAGTCCAACACGCTGTTGAAACCAACATATTCATATCGCCCCTCTGCGCAGATATGCACCCATTCTAGGAGATCGAACCCAGGCCAGATGGGATATGTAGTCCATTTAGTCATTTTTGGGTCTACTCCGGGGTGGGCGGGCCTTACAAACCTCTACAAACTAGGCAACCTAACTAGACCCCCCACCTCAACTGTCTCCTTTCGTCAGAGGAGCCTCACCAAGTCTCTAAGGCTGAGTCCAGCCACCCGACGGAGAAAACGTCTTTCAGCCGTGTGTCACGACCGTGTTTCTTACCTTTTTAATTCTCTTTTGATTATTTGACATAATAGCTGCAACTATCAACATTTTTTTTATCTTGAAGTAATGTCACAGCCATTCAAACAGCCGACAGCTCCTAGACTCATAATCCTAAGTCTTTTCTTGCAGTTGCACAATTCATTTAACATTTTGCGATACTTCCATGCAGGCGCCTCAGAGCCATATGGGCCCTAAAAGTGGACAAACATCTCTCCAATTAACTGGAAATAATTGCTGCAGAAAAACCAACACTAATTAACACGGCAGAGGTAGCTCTGCGTAGCCAGGCTCCTCGTGGGAATCATTAAAGTTTCATGTGGTCTAAACTAAAGCAACATTGTATGGATGCTCCCGTGTTTATGTCTGGCACAAGGTGACTTCAGAGACGGACTCGTGGCGTCTGAAATCAGGCCAGTTGACTTTACTTTGGCGCCTGCTTCCACGTTGACGTCTTCACTCTATAGCGAACGAGATGCAAGCAAACAACCGACATGATGAGACCATTAACTAAATCACTGGACACCATCTGACTAAAGAGACTGCCAAGGCTCTGTGCATCACATGGCCAGAGCTGACCCAAATACAAAAGAGCTTTTATCAAGAGATGTAAACAGATGAAAATCTGCCAGCGTGGATTTAAGTATCTTTTGTAGTTTTTAAGGGATTATGCTTTGAAGGACGTTCACTCTACTGTAACAGAAAAATGATGGTATAGATAGGGTGGTAGGTGGGCAGGTAATCAATGTGATAATATCACAAATTAAAATGTATTCAGTTCCTAAATGTTTAAATCAAATTTATCATTCCAACATTCCCACAGGATAGGGACGAGGAAAAACTGCCTTTTAGTCTAAGAAACCAGACTTCTGCCTCGACCAGTTGGGTCTGAAGGGGAGTTCATGGTGTCAAACCAGGCATAGCAATGTAATACCAGCGCACACAACAACATACATGAAGAGTTTTTCTCACCTCCCTCCAGGTCGGAGACTGCCAGAGATCCAGAGGCCTGACACCCACAGTCTCTGGCCTAGAAAGAGGCTTCTCTCCAGGCCAGAAACTGACAGTCAGAGACCCTTGGCCCTGCAGTCTCGGCCTCTCTCCAGGAGGGACACTGCTTTGCCCGGATCACATGCATGGACCTGGTGTGTGTTTATGTGCTCGTGTTTTCAGCCTTATTTAACACCATCTGAAGATGGATTGTGAGCTGTGGGTGGCGCCGAAGCTCTTTCAGGTTGCTACGCTGCTCTGGGACTTTGTTTAAATGCATTTTTCATGTAAACCTGACGATCTGTAGAGAAAGAGTGAGAGGGAAGATGAAAGTGACAGCTACAGTGATCCACCAGAATGTGAACTAAAATGAACAGATGTGCCTGCAGACAGATTTGTGTGATATTCACAGTTCAGCACAGATTTTGAGCTCCTCTTTTAAGGAAAAAAAACCAAGAAACCTTTTCTCTGTGGACCGTTTCAAACAGAACCACTCCCAGCCGCCACACTGTGATGGGGCCGCTCCTGCAGGAGTAATGGTTGAAATACTCCAGAGGGACATGAGCAGGGATAACTTAAATACATATATAATAAATAAAAAACACAAGGATGAGGAGGAACTCTTACCATTTAACATCCATATAGATTTTTAGAAATGTGTGCACAATATTATTTGTGATGATGGAAATATTCCCCAAAAACAAAGTGATCCAGACATACAACTAGCAATTTGTTTCTTTTACTGACTCAAACTGCAGGAATGAAAGAGATATTAAATCTTCAAAACGATAAACAAGACAGTTTACTGTGTCCCAGTCAACACATTGACCTTATCCGAACCCTTCACTTTGACATTTCCTGAATAACTTCACGACAAGGTTTCCCGGGAAGCTGTGCGTCTTCCAGCCAGGTGCTTTTTAAAAAAATATATATTTACACGTTATTTGCAGACAGCTAATTCTCCAGCGGACCTCCATGATGACACCAGCTGTGGTTTTCTAGAAGATTTATGAAGCAGCTGGCACATCTCCGTGTTATGTAACAGAATACAAATGAGCGGGTGCCAACACTACCATCCGTCCAGGCGCACTCTGCAAAAAATCTGCTCCACTTCCACACTCTTGAAGGAACTGGGTCCCCACCAGCTCTGTGGGCTTTAATAAGAGGCATATTTTACTGTTGTGGTGTTAAGGTTGTCAGAATTAACAAAAATGTGCTGTGACGGTTACATTTTATCAATATTTTGATACAGATATCACATTTATGTTGTGTGGTAACGCACGTAATCACATTTTCAAAATGTACAAACAGCTAAAGCTTAAAAAAGAATCTCGTTAATGCTTCGTTATCATGAATACGTTGGGTTTGCAGGGGAAAATGAGAGGGCATTTAGCCCATTTACCAGTGATTCACTTAAATCAAGTATTGAGTTGACAAGCAGCATCTGATTCCCATTAACCTACAGTACACATACTCATTTACCTCTTGTTTTGTAGTTGGTGCAGACTGAGGAGAGAGCACAGGGACAGAAAATCAGGCAGACCTGAAAATGTAAAGTGTCTATTTTAACCATCTTCACGTCTAAAGCCCATTGGCAAGTTTAAAGATCACTCCCCTCAATTTGTATACCGACCCTGCCACTTCCTAAAAACACTAAAGCTGCGGAATGACTAAGAGCAAGTCGAGAAAGATTACGAGAGAGGAAACATGATAAAAACCTTGAAGAAGTGGTGTTGTAAAATAGCTCACTCCGCTGTGATTAATTCACTGCGATGATTAATTCACTGCGATGATTCTTAAAATAAAATAAGCGATGGCATCCCTGTGTGAGGGAGAGAGGAAGCAAGTGATAAACGGTTGAACAAACGATCTGTATTTTCAGACAAAGTGGTGTTGGATTAACTGTAAACTCACAGAGTCGAGAAGGATGGGGCTGAACTGGATGAATCTTTAGGAAGCAGGAGATGACGTGTGGGGTTCTGCAAAGATATTTTAAGAATCATTAAATATTTTTTTATCTCACTTACAAGAGCAGCAGGCCAGGTGTGATTCGGATGTGAACATGAAGTGGCCCATGTGTTAAATGGGAACACATTCAGGCCACACACATGTGGTATGTGGGCCGGATCTGCTATGTAACAACCATCCCTCGGTTCTCTTTCACAAACAAGGTGTATATGTAACTTCCACTCTCTAACTGGGTTACCTGAAAACTGATTCTATTCTGTGTGCCGAGGATAGCACAGGGAGCCACTGTTGAAAATGTTATGACAAGTTCTATGTGACGTGGTGGTGGCTGCAACACCAGGGACATATAGCTCAATCGCTGCCACCACCGTGTGAGGGACTGATAAGGGGATTAAATTATTGCAAATATGAGAACAGCAGACCCACTGCAGACTCGACTCGGAGGTTTTGCTTTTTACGTCTCAAGATTTGACCCAGAAAATCCCAGAAGAGTATGAAAAACAGAGCAACAGAAAGGCTGGCATGGCTACGCACCCTGAATATTTTTTACATTTTAAGGGTTTCGTTTCACTCATGTAAAAATATTATTATCACCGACTCAGGATCAATCATTTTTAATGTTTGTTTTAATGCTAAGAGTGAAAAGGAACTTGCACTTTGCTCATGATTTTTCCCTAAAATCACTATTCAACCATTAACTGCTCAATCATCAGAGCTTTGCACTGGTGTTCTTGAAATGTGTGTAATTACATTATCTGTGCTAAAGTCCATTAAGAGGTTGTGGACACAGTTTTAGTGTTTTAAATCTCATATCCACTTTAACAGGTTTAAAAAAGGCTGCAGTCCCTCAGCGAGCTCACAGCCGGTGAGAAATCAGTCAAGTCATGCAAGCTGAATACAAAATGGGTTTTACATTTAATTCTAACTGGCATCAAATAGGTCTTTAAAGGGAGGCTTAAATTGCCGTGTCATGCTGGATGTCGGGTCATAATCACCGCCGTAAATGTCTTGCTGTAGGAGCTGCAGTTTGAGCGGCTGACGCGGGAGCTGGAGGAGGAGCGGCAGATCGTGGCCAGCCAGCTGGAGAGGTGCATGCTGGGAGCGGAGTCGCCGGCGGGAGACAGCAGCAGGTAGGTTTGAGGGTGTGATGCCTCGTTGTGTTTTTCATCATCACAAATGTCTTGCACTGACTAACCAATTAGTTGAAACTACTAAGAACAAATATCAGTATAGGTGGGCGGTTGATCAAACCCTTAAGAGATTTGATAAGTGAATTAAGTCATTCTAACAGTATTAACAGAAGATGCAACATTCCGCTGCTTGTGCACTGAAAGTAAATATATATATATGCACAGGTTATTTACCTTTACATTTCAAACACTGTCTTCTTTCTTCTCCCTGGTCTGATTGAATATAAAGTATTCGTCTGTGACTCTAATTTGATTTGCGTCTCTCTCTGCTCTCCCATCTCTCCTCCTGAAGCTCATCAGAGAAGTCATTTGCATGGAGATCTGCAGGTATGATTTCTTCCTTTTAATCTCTCATGTTTTATTATGATCTAAAATAGAACTAAAACTGAAACTCAAGAGTTTTACAGATTTTTTTTCTAAATTGTAAACACCACAGTTTGAAATGAGATAAAATCCATAATACTTGAAGAAAAAAACTTCTCTCCCCATTTCAAGCTCCAAAGGGCTGAAAATTGCTGGCATGCTGCACCGAGCGGTCGAGCAAAACAAAACAGCGTCTTTGTCCACCAGTTCATATGGGCGTTGAATTTACTGTTCTGTCACTGATTCCTCTCCTCCATTTCCTCACCCATTCCTCACTGTCAGCCTTCCAATAAAACAGACGTACAGCGATATGATGCTGCAATTTTCCGTGTCAAAGAATTGATATATTTCACTTCTAAGATTAAGAGGATCCTGTCTGCAAAGATGATGCTACTAAATTGTTTTCATGCAGACTTGTTATCGACAGGGAAGTGTAGGGAAATGTGTCACACGTGTACAATCACTTAAATGTTCGGTTGACAGTTTGTGTAGGAGACTAACTATACTTCCGTCACCTCTGCAGGTGGAGAGTCGCAGGGCGGAGCCATGGAGGCGTCTGGACGCCACCTGGAGGCGGAAGAGGGACTCTATCTGCCGGAACAGGACCGCGCCTCCCTGCATGACAGTGAGGGTCTGTTAAATGTACACAGCACACGGCCTGAACGAAATCACTACTCATGCGCTATCTAACATTATTTGTAGAAAAAGATGCATGCTTCTTAGATGGTTTGCTTAATTATTAACGACATTTTTGAGATAATTCTAGAGATTATTTCATTCTTACTTTATTTCTTAATTGTCTAATAGACGTAAGCTTCACAGTAGAGGTCAGAACATGAGTCACGAACACTTAATGTCAGTTAATCTGCCACATCAGGACTGTTTGGGTGCGGTTTAAAGCATCTTGGCGACATAAAGAACTCAAGAAATGTCATTGTCTCAATCGTAATTGGTGCACAGGAGTCTATTGCATCTGAGAATGTGTTTTATAACCTCTCGTCTTGTAAACACTCCCGGCAAGAAATCATTCTGTGACAGAGAAAACGTGTAAAAAGCACAGATGACCCATGATTTGTGAGTTTTCTTAAAACTGAACAAATCCCACGACACGACCAAAACCAATAACATGTTCGCCTCTCTCTTTATTAACACTTTACAACTTTTACAATCTGTATCATAAAGATCGGAGTCTTTAAAAGCTGAATACAAATATCAGAACAGCTGAGAACTGTAGTTATTGGCAAACGTTACGGAAACAGGAAGATTTTGTGCATTTGTTGGGGGACTATTTTCAGCAGGGGATTAATCCACATTTGGTGCTCTACTGAGCATTTGGGGCAGCAGGACAGTGTGTGTGTTGGAGTCGAAATAAACTGTGTGTGTTTAAATAATGACAAAAGAAGATGTCATCCACTGGCTCACTGGTGTGTGTGTGTGTCAGGACAACAATTGAGATTTATTTTGCAGAGGAATAAGATGCAATTTACAGATATTTATCAATATTTTATTGTTAATGTTAATGTACTGTGTTTATAAAGCTTCTCTTTTCTTATCGAACTCTGAAAGCTCTTTACAATGCAAGGCACAGTCACCCATTCACACACGCATTCATATGGCTACTATACTACTATGGCTACGATATCGAACCACTGACTTTCTGGGTAGTGGATAACCCACTCTACCTCAAATCAATTTGTTGCCACCACATCGACAAGCTTTCTTTAGGGCTAAGTTAGACTCAGGGGGTAGAGCGGGATGCCCATTAACAGGGAGGTTGTAGGTTTGATTCATGGCTCCTCTAGTCTGCATGCTAATGTGTTAAAGTGGAAGAAATCCATAAGAAATCCCAAAGGTCCCACACTATGTTATGAAACTTGCTTGCATGTTTTTGCAGGATCTGAATCACCTAATAGAATATATATAAAAGTCAAATCATGGCAGCAACAACAACATCTCCCAATTCAGAAAAGTCTGTCTCCTCTTTGCTGTCTGATATTAACTCTTTTGTTCCATATGTATTCACACCTGGGAGCTCTGCAGTACAACCACCAGCCTGTCGCTGTTGGACATTAGGCATCTTCACTGGAGCAGTTGACATTTGGGTCCATCAAGTTTCCTCAAAGCTTGTGTTAGAACCACAGGATCGCAGAGCGAAGCACGGATGCAGCTGCTGCTGCTGTGAAATCTGAAGACACTTTTTTTCTCTTCTTGGATATTTCTTGCACCGTACTACAGAAACTGATTTTCAAATAGATTTGCAAAGACTGCAACATTTCACTGTCATTAGCGAACATGTAATTCCTGAGTAGCTAGTTGAAATGTTCAAAACAAATTTGCCTCTTATTTATATTCTTTGTTGTTTGAGTGGTCGGGGGATAGTGTAAAAATATCCCGCATATGTTTCCTCCTCCTTATCCTGCAGGAGAAAGTCGGCCAGCCTTATTGAAGCAGATTCAGGAGCAGCATGAAGGCTTAATGCAGATATAGCAATGCCTATGTATTTATATGCATACTGCCTTTTAACAAGTTGAAAGGCAAGTGAGATGATATGCAAATCAGTAAACCGCAGTGACTGATGGTGATTTGCACTGATCTGTTTGATCACACTTCACTGCTTCACTTGATGGGAACGAGGAAGTGAATGATAATATGCAGGAGTTTCCTCACCCTCTTTATCTTTTGTTTCCTCTCAGACTCAGGAGGTCACTCGGCCCAGATGACCACGTACTCAGACAGCGGATACCAGGACAGCAGCGTTAGTTACTACAGCAACCAGAACGTGGTGCGTTCGGAGCCCCGGGCCTCGATATCGAGAAGCCCAAGAGCTGAGGGTCAAGCCTCCGGGCAGGTAGGGTTACTCCACTAGTCATCTAGGAGGTTGTGTTTTCATCCCCTGTCCATTTGCTTGCTGCATGGTTGGTTGTCAGCATGATGATGCAAAAACCCAAGGAAACAGTTTCTGTGACATTTTGTGGAAAGATGGGACATGAGCCCAAAAAAACCCCCCGCTTATTCCCATAGTCCAGTGACATGCAGATTGCAGTTAGATTAATGGAGACTCTCAATTGTCAGTGAAATGTGTATGTTACACCCCCCGCACCCTAAGACCCTCACAGGATAAGCAGTATAGATAAAGGATGAATGGCTATTGAAGGGACTGATGTGTGCAATTTTGTGCAGATCCAAATAAAAATCTAGTAAGTAAATAAGAATCTAGGGATTTGGTTCCCTAAGAGGAATGTTAGGCCTTGGCGGAGGGATGCATATGTCAGAAATGTTACCATTTTAAATTTGGACCAGTAAATATAAAATATGTTTTATATTTTGTGAGGAGACTGTTTTCGAGGAATCACATTTTTACTTTCCATGTTTTGACTATTTGTCAGCTCGTTGTCACCTGAAATATATTTTACTTTCTGCCGTGAACAATAATAATCTTCATCCCTCGAGCAATGACAACAAGCAATCGTGAATGATGAGGAACATCATCTAAAGGCGCACAATCAAATCGAGTCTTACCTTCAAATCGCTCTGACTCAAACTCTATCAGCTAATAATTATACGCCGCTTGCGCGACAGTAGAAGCAGGAGTGACAGATAATGGTGAGCCCATTTGAATTTTCTCTTGATTTATTCCGAACCCAGCAGCCTTGCTGGATGGGTTTACATGTCTCGGCTCTTAATTTTCCTCTGAGGCGTTGGAGGCGTGGATGGATTAAGACGCCACATATCAGCATCCAGTTGGCTGAGTATGTAATTGAGGGACATTTTACATTTGGTAATGGGGAGGGAAAAGTAAATGTTTGTCCCCCTTAAATAAATTAAAATATATAATGTTCTGTCAAATCTACCCCTGAAATGTGATATATTTACGACTCCGCTGCAGACTAATGAATTTAGACATTTATTCAAAGGCACGTTCAGTTACTTAGACAGACGATAAGGATAATGATGCCCTCCATCAGAGATGATGAAGCACCCCGTCTCAGAGTGTCTTCTTACTGGTAATTGCCAGGTATATTTGCAAATGGAAGCAGCACAGTGAGCACACGCTAATGTTTTTAGGTATTGAAGTGATTAATTGTCAACACCATTGTGAATATTACACCAGGAATCATGAGGAGACTAATTAAAAACGAGTTAGATGTCATTTTATAATGACATTGGAGTTTTACTTTAATCTCACAAAGTTAGGAGCAGTAGGTGCTCGGCTGTCGAAATTAAAGCGTGTTCACTTTTTCTGTATTATACCATTGCTTGTTTTTATTGGTAATGATAGATCTTCCTTTCTTTTCTGTAGGCTGCATACTTGTGAGCATCAGCCTACATGCATTTTCCTCGGCATTAAACACATGCTTAATTGCGTACATGATTTAATTTCAATGGTACTTGCACAAGCATAATGACCTGTGGAAATAAAAAGGGCATTTTATGAAGCTTTAATAAAAACAGATGCCTCATTAACATACAATTGGTGTTATTTGTCACGTTTACAGTCTCTGGAAGCTGTGATTTGTCTCCCCTCTTCTCTGCAGGCGTCCAGCCGGGTGTTGCGGAGGATGGCCTCCCTCCCCTCCAGGAGCCAGTCTCCTGGCTGTGGCACTGCTGGCACTGTGTCGCCCTCCCGCATCTCCCTGCGAACATCCCAAGGCAGCACCTACGACTCGCCCATCCTGTCTGAGCCCAAACCTCTGGCTGCCGTGTTCGCCGGCACCACCATGCCGCCCTCCTGCCCTTCACCAACCTCCCCGACCGGTGGCACACAGGCCCTGGGTGGTGGGGGATTAGGCGTCTTAGGAGGAGGAGGCATTGGTGGGCGCCTGGGCTCCACCCTCTCTCTGGTGGAGGGGAGGGGTTTGACGGGGTCCCCGCTGCGTTCAGGGATGATGGCGGTGCCGCAGCACTACGGCTCCACGCTGCCCAGACAGAGCCAGCCGCTGGCCTACGGAGCTGACCCATACGGGCTGTACCAGAGGAGCGCACTGCCCCGCCCCGACAGCCTCATAGGTCAGTCTGACATTTAAATATCATGCTGTTTATTGGTGTGGTCACATTCGACATCAATCCACTGAAACTCCACCAAAAAGTGTAACATTGTCATCGTCCTTGAGAATAATGGAGTTCCATCTGTCACAATAACGCAACGTGTTTTCTGGCTCAGATATAAACAGGCATTAAGTTCTATTTATTATCCCCGGTAGAAAACTTAGATAATAAGATAAATGAAAAGATACATATATGGATGTGGCGGTGGGGTATGGTTAGGGCGCCAACTGCTGGACAACAGGGAGGAGTGGCTCAGCYGGTGATCCGACAGCTGGGCAGAATCAGGTAATCAGGGCAATCAATAAAAGCATGCTTGTAACCTGGTTCTGCCTCTKGTAGTAGGCTGGCGTCCTGAGACCTAGAGAGCGGCGGACGTGTGCGTGCGTGTGAGCGGGTTTATAGACCCACCCAGATAAAGAGAGATATCGAGAGACATATATATGTGTGTGTGTGGGTTGCCAAGGAAGGCAACATAAATAAAAGACTTTACGCAAGCCATTCTCTCCTCCCGTCATTCCCCGGAGTGGGCCGAGTATCCCACAATGGATAAGAAAGAACAGATATTATAGGAAGTCTCCTATAATAAAATATACTAGAAGCCCCTATCTACACCCTATCTTGCAATATCAGTGTTGTTGTTCTTGTGGATGTGTAGTTGTGGGTATTAGATCGGATTTCCCAGATTTCTGTTCGTGTTGCTGAGCACACGTCTATAATTAATGACACCCAGATTCATCAGCGGCGCTTCCCAAACCATTTTGGCTTGGAAGCCCTCCAGTGAAAAGTGCACTTGCCAAACCTCATCTCAAGTGTCACATATTTTCACCTCTAAACTGTGTCGTTTGATTAAGTGTCACAGGCCTCGAGGTGTTAAACTGTACAGCAGCTCACAAAAAGGCAAACATTATGCATAGTTTTAAAATATTCTATTCAGATTTTTGTACGACGCCTCACAACACATTCAATTCAACGGCAATCTGTAATTAAACTGTCACAGACGAATAAATATGTATAGATTAAACTGAAGACATGTGTGGAACGTGATAAAATGAGCAGTTTCTCTTGTGTGTAAATGGTTTAAAAAGTTAAACCTCTGGGATTTACAAAGTTAGCATCCTCGTAATGGTGTTTTGATGTCATATTACTCTACACATAGACTGTCGCACTTGAATGAGTGAAAATAATAATAGTCGGGGAGGGTTGCAGGGTTAAAATCCAACCAAGTCCAAATCTGGGCCAGAAGAGTTTGAGCAGCTCACAGTTCTGCAGTAAAACAAAGATTTGAGTGTGTGCAACAGTGTGTTCTCAGCAAAACCTTGTAAATAAACAAAGCCATGCTCCGCAGCCTTGACGCCACCCCTTCTGTTGATTTAATAACCTTTCCTTTGTTGGGAAGGGGGGGAGTTGACTGAGCGGTGCTGGTGTAATATTGCAGCGTGCAAAGTTTTTGACTGTGCAGGAGCTCAGTGGAGCTCCGTGTATCTCCGGGAAGCAGCGGGAATCATTAAATAAACCCTGCGTGTTGAACAAAATGAATTTCATGCGAACTGCAAGCTCTGCAGGCTATTTTATCTTGAAGGGAGTTAATTTCATGGAGTTTTTTTTGTGGAATTGCACCGGCAGATAATGCTGCCTGATTTGATAGAATTGTATATTAATGCATGCCCGTGTGGAAGAACAGGGATTTTAATCTTTCACTTGTACCAGGTAGATGTTTTGAGCTCAGGCTTAACGTGAACTTTAGTGCTGGGTGTGATTGATGTGCAGCAGTGTAAAGGAAAACAAGTCAGAGAGAGAGAGAGAGAGAGAAATCTACAGCATGAATGAGCACAATGCAGTGGATCACAGCGGTTAACTGCTTCCACTACATTTTCTCTTCTTTCCTGTAGAAAAATTTCTATCCAGCTGCATTCTAACTCGACGCTCGGTTGTTAAATCAGTTGTTGCACATCGCCAATTAATTATTTACACACAAGCAAACATGCAGCGATGTCTTATTAATGGGCTTCAACATGCCAAGTAGCTCATTTCACATTAAACCACTTTTTAAGAGCAGTAATCGCGTTATAAAACATTAATAATACGCTTTGATATCTATAATCAGAGAATTTCATGTATTTTCACCAATTCTAATTCATCAGCTTGTGTTATATTGTATTAGAGTTAAAACAAG